TGTGTGTTAGTTCCTAATGTTTCTTTGCTAGATCATCAGGTTCTTTCTTGACTATGACTAAGTGCATGTTTATTTTCTAGGGCTTCATTGTTGTATTTTTGCAAGAGTTCCAGGTTTCTTTTTTGTATAGGGCTCAATTGTTTTCTCTGGCTCCAAACTTAGTTAAGGTAAGGTGGGCGGGTTGTTAGATAGGGCTAAGGAAGGGTTTGTTTGGTAGAGCTATGGAGGGAGTTTGGTTGGGCTCTGGGGCTGTTTGTTTGGCTTGGTGTGGGTTTGATGAGTTGTTTGCGTGCTAGACTTGCGGTTACACAACTGGTCGGGCTCCGGTTCAAAACTGGTCGGGCTCCGGGGGTGTCACTGGGGCTTCGGGTTGTGCATGATCGGGCTTCAGTTCTTGCATGGTTGTGATTCAGAGGTTGTTTGGTTTGTTCATGCTAGACTTGCGGTTACACAACTGGATTGGGTCCGGTTACACAACTGGTCGGGCTTCGGTTACACAACTGGTCGGGCTCCGGTTCAAAACTGGTCGGGCTCCGGGGGTGTCACTGGGACTTCGGGTTGTGCATGATCGAACTTCAGTTCGTGCATGGTTGTGATTCAGAGGTTGTTTGGTTTGTTCATGCTAGACTTGCGGTTACACAACTGGATTGGGTCCGGTTACACAACTGGTCGGGCTTCGGTTACACAACTGGTCGGGCTCCGGTTCAAAACTGGTCGGGCTCCGGGGGTGTCACTGGGACTTCGGGTTGTGCATGATCGAGCTTCAGTTCGTGCATGGTTGTGATTCAGAGGTTGTTTGGTTTGTTCATGCTAGACTTGCGGTTACACAACTGGATTGGGTCCGGTTACACAACTGGTCGGGCTTTGGTTACACAACTGGTCGGGCTCCGGTTACTTAACTGGTCGGGCTCCGGGGGTGTCACTGGGACTTCGGGTTGTGCATGATCGGGCTTCGGTTCATGCATGGTTGTGCTCAAGGGGTTGTGTGTTAGTGCTCATGTTTCTTTACTAGATCATCAGGTTCTTTCTTGACTATGACTAAGGGCATGTTTATTTTCTAGGGCTTCATTATTGTATTTTTGCAAGAATTTAAGGTTTCTTTTTTTTTAATAGGGCTCAATTAATTGTTTGCTTTGGCTCCAAAATTAGTTGTTAGGGCAAGGGGGGGGGGAGGGTTATTAGGTAGGACTAAGGAAGGGTTTGTTTGGTAGAGCTATGGAGGGAGTTTGGTTGGGCTCTGGGGCTGTTTGTTTGGCTTGGTGTGGGTTTGATGAGTTGTTTGCGTGCTAGACTTGCGGTTACACAACTGGATTGGGTCCGGTTACACAACTGGTCGGGCTTCGGTTACACAACTGGTCGGGCTCCGGTTCAAAACTGGTCGGGCTCCGGGGGTGTCACTGGGACTTCGGGTTGTGCATGATCGAGCTTCAGTTCGTGCATGGTTGTGATTCAGAGGTTGTTTGGTTTGTTCATGCTAGACTTGCGGTTACACAACTGGATTGGGTCCGGTTACACAACTGGTCGGGCTTCGGTTACACAACTGGTCGGGCTCCGGTTCAAAACTGGTCGGGCTCCGGGGGTGTCACTGGGACTTCGGGTTGTGCATGATCGAACTTCAGTTCGTGCATGGTTGTGATTCAGAGGTTGTTTGGTTTGTTCATGCTAGACTTGCGGTTACACAACTGGATTGGGTCCGGTTACACAACTGGTCGGGCTTTGGTTACACAACTGGTCGGGCTCCGGTTCAAAACTGGTCGGGCTCCGGGGGTGTCACTGGGACTTCGGGTTGTGCATGATCGAGCTTCAGTTCGTGCATGGTTGTGATTCAGAGGTTGTTTGGTTTGTTCATGCTAGACTTGCGGTTACACAACTGGATTGGGTCCGGTTACACAACTGGTCGGGCTTTGGTTACACAACTGGTCGGGCTCCGGTTCAAAACTGGTCGGGCTCCGGGGGTGTCACTGGGGCTTCGGGTTGTGCATGATCGGGCTTCGGTTCGTGCATGGTTGTGCTCCAGGGGTTGTGTGTTAGTTCCTAATGTTTCTTTGCTAGATCATCAGGTTCTTTCTTGACTATGACTAAGTGCATGTTTATTTTCTAGGGCTTCATTGTTGTATTTTTGCAAGAGTTCCAGGTTTCTTTTTTGTATAGGGCTCAATTGTTTGCTCTGGCTCCAAACTTAGTTAAGGTAAGGTGGGGGGGTTGTTAGATAGGGCTAATGAAGGGTTTGTTTGGTAGAGCTATGGAGGGAGTTTGGTTGGGCTCTGGGGCTGTTTGTTTGGCTTGGTGTTGGTTTGATGAGTTGTTTGCGTGCTAGACTTGCGGTTACACAACTGGATTGGGTCCGGTTACACAACTGGTCGGGCTTCGGTTACACAACTGGTCGGGCTCCGGTTCAAAACTGGTCGGGCTCCGGGGGTGTCACTGGGACTTCGGGTTGTGCATGATCGAGCTTCAGTTCGTGCATGGTTGTGATTCAGAGGTTGTTTGGTTTGTGCATGCTAGACTTGCGGTTACACAACTGGATTGGGTCCGGTTACACAACTGGTCGGGCTTCGGTTACACAACTGGTCGGGCTCCGGTTCAAAACTGGTCGGGCTCCGGGGGTGTCACTGGGGCTTCGGGTTGTGCATGATCGAGCTTTGGTTCGTGCATGGTTGTGCTCCAGGGGTTGTGTGTTAGTTCCTAATGTTCCGGGGGTGTCTTTCGCTAGATCATCAGGTTCTTTCTTGACTATGACTAAGTGCATGTTTATTTTCTAGGGCTTCATTGTTGTATTTTTGCAAGAGTTCCAGGTTTCTTTTTGTTAGTATAGGGCTCACTATGACTAAGGGCATGTTTATCTGGCTCCAAGAGTTCTTAGTTAAGTTTGCTTTGGCTCCAAAATTAGTTGTTAGGGCGGGTGTTAGATAGGACTAAGGAAGGGTTTGTTTGGTAGAGCTATGGAGGGAGTTTGGTTGGGCTCTGGGGCTGTTTGTTTGGCTTGGTGTGGGTTTGATGAGTTGTTTGCGTGCTAGACTTGCGGTTACACAACTGGATTGGGTCCGGTTACACAACTGGTCGGGCTTCGGTTACACAACTGGTCGGGCTCCGGTTCAAAACTGGTCGGGCTCCGGGGGTGTCACTGGGACTTCGGGTTGTGCATGATCGAGCTTCAGTTCGTGCATGGTTGTGATTCAGAGGTTGTTTGGTTTGTTCATGCTAGACTTGCGGTTACACAACTGATCGGGGTCCGGTTACACAACTGGTGGGGCTTCGGTTACACAACTGGTCGGGCTCCGGTTAAATAACTGGTCGGGCTCCGGTTACACAACTGGTCGGGCTCCGGTTACTTAACTGGTCGGGCTCCGGGGGTGTCACTGGGACTTCGGGTTGTGCATGATCGGGCTTCGGTTCGTGCATGGTTGTGCTCAAGGGGTTGTGTGTTAGTGCTCATGTTTCTTTACTAGATCATCAGGTTCTTTCTTGACTATGACTAAGGGCATGTTTATTTTCTAGGGCTTCATTGTTGTATTTTTGCAAGAGTTCCAGGTTTCTTTTTTTTAATAGGGCTCAATTAATTGTTTGCTTTGGCTCCAAAATTAGTTGTTAGGGCATGGGGGTGGGGGTTGTTAGGTAGGACTAAGGAAGGGTTTGTTTGGTAGAGCTATGGAGGGAGTTCGGTTGCGCTCTGGGGCTGTTTGTTTGGCTTGGTGTGGGTTTGATGAGTTGTTTGCGTGCTAGACTTGCGGTTACACAACTGGATTGGGTCTGGTTACACAACTGGTCGGGCTTCGGTTACACAACTGGTCGGGCTCCGGTTCAAAACTGGTCGGGCTCCGGGGGTGTCACTGGGACTTCGGGTTGTGCATGATCGAGCTTCAGTTCGTGCATGGTTGTGATTCAGAGGTTGTTTGGTTTGTTCATGCTAGACTTGCGGTTACACAACTGGATTGGGTCCGGTTACACAACTGGTCGGGCTTTGGTTACACAACTGGTCGGGCTCCGGTTCAAAACTGGTCGGGCTCCGGGGGTGTCACTGGGGCTTCGGGTTGTGCATGATCGGGCTTCAGTTCTTGCATGGTTGTGATTCAGAGGTTGTTTGGTTTGTTCATGCTAGACTTGCGGTTACACAACTGATCGGGGTCCGGTTACACAACTGATGGGGCTTCGGTTACACAACTGGTCGGGCTTCGGTTAAATAACTGGTCGGGCTCCGGTTACACAACTGGTCGGGCTCCGGTTACTTAACTGGTCGGGCTCCGGTTACTTAACTGGTCGGGCTCCGGGGGTGTCACTGGGACTTCGGGTTGTGCATGATTGGGCTTCGGTTCGTGCAAGGTTGTGCTCAAGGGGTTGTGTGTTAGTGCTCATGTTTCTTTACTAGATCATCAGGTTCTTTCTTGACTATGACTAAGGGCATGTTTATTTTCTAGGGCTTCATTGTTGTATTTTTGCAAGAGTTCCAGGTTTCTTTTTTTTTAATAGGGCTCAATTAATTGTTTGCTTTGGCTCCAAAATTAGTTGTTAGGGCAAGGGGGGGAAGGGTTATTAGGTAGGACTAAGGAAGGGTTTGTTTGGTAGAGCTATGGAGGGAGTTTGGTTGGGCTCTGGGGCTGTTTGTTTGGCTTGGTGTGGGTTTGATGAGTTGTTTGCGTGCTAGACTTGCGGTTACACAACTGGATTGGGTCCGGTTACACAACTGGTCGGGCTTCGGTTACACATCTGGTGAGGCTCCGGTTCCAGAACATGTCTGGCTTCGGTTACACAACTGGTCGGGCTCTGGTTACAAAACTGGTTAGGCTCCAGGGATGTCACTGTGTATATATATAATTGTGTGTGCAGAAATAATATTAATAAAACAATTAACATCGTGTAGTGTACCTGTATATCAAAATATATTACATTGAAACTCGTATCAGTCACTAAAAAAAAATTGGGCTACTCGTGTTACAAATTCGGTACGTTTAGCCCGTCAGCTCGCTACTTTCAGCAGTTTGGGTCTGGCAACCCTGCTGGCCCCGTGCTCTAGTTGCCCCTAACCCAGCAACAACAACACCAGAGGCCTCTCAGCCTAGTAGCGGCTCGTGAAATTATTACAATGTCCCGTTTTCTGTCCTTGGGTCCTTGGGTTGGTTAGCTTAGGGTGCTTTAGTACGATAGTTTCTTGATGTTGGGGACCGCTTGCGAGAACGGACTGTGGCGCTAGGCATTAAGGTGAATATGAATCTTGGAGTCACCTTGACGTGCGGATAAGGCCACTACCGGCTTTCCATAGCCCGTTCTACCTGCAGCTTTTTGTTCCTAGTAGGCGGAAGCTGGACATGCAATTGTCGAAGCAACATAATAAGGTTCCTGTTCCCTGTATCAGTGGTCACAAGTGGGATGCAGTGAAGGAAGATATTGTTGAATCCAATTCCATCCACAACTTCAAAAAAAAATACAATTAAAACATTATTGTTTAGAGAGGTAATTAATATACCAGGTATAAATGGCTAGGGGGGCAAATTTCATAATGCCCTTTTTCTTTTTTTCACAGGAAAATGTATTGTCATCGGATGATTGCTAATGCTCCATCCCTACCAAGAAATGGATGGAAGATGAGGAAATATGTTGACTCACCAACACACTGTAGGTTTCCTATTCACCAGATAACGGATGGCATTAAAGAACAGGCAAGAACATGGAATACTAATGCAGTAACTAAATATGAGCTGATTTTCTACCCTGCATTGCTTTTTAAATTATGCTTAATTAATTTTATGGCATAAGGATAATATTTGTCATAACCAATAAAGTTATTACAGTACTTTCTGTATAAAAGTAATTTTTGGTATAGCTTCCCCACTGGCTGCCCATAACTAAAGAATTGGTACCCCAAGGTCAAATCCAACACACCAAAATTGTTGGCTTTCCATTGTCACGGACAGGAAACCTGTTAAGCTTACTCTTCACTTGGCTTCATTTCCAAAATTTTGCTTTATAACATTTGACATGTTGGTGAAAGTGATTGTGAAACCAGTGAAGGAAAATGTTCATTATTATAAGGCATACTGTACTGTACTTTGAATGATAATAAGTCACATGAAGGTTGTGCATAAAATTTCTTCCAGGCTTTGCTGTTATATTTGCAATTGCAGATATTGTTCTGATTTTTACAGTTCTAGTTAACCAAATATGCACATTGGTAATCTTCAGTCACTAGGAAAGCCCGATCTCAGCTTGGGCCGTGAAAATAGGGTTTCATGAAATCAGTCACTGGCTTATTTATCTGTGCAATGTATTGTATACGAGTTGATGTCCCTCAGAGTGGCTCATGTGATGACCTCATAAAAAATGTTTCTTTAAACAAAGTGCCAGTAGTGAAATAGCAGAGAGACAAGGAAACTATCAGTGTACAGGAGATTCTTCATGGTGAATAAACTCCCTTTTCCACACTTAAATTTTGTTTTACTTTCTGTTTTTCAGTACTTTTACCTCTCAAAGTAATACAGGTATGCTGGACTGGTAAGATATGTAAATGCAACTGACTGAAAGTTGTTATATTTCTTGCAGAATCTGAGGGATCAGATTACAGCAGAGACTTGCCTAAGTAGAAACCATTTGACACCTGAATTACAGCTGAATCTAATTACTCACTTATGCCGGCTTTGGACATGTGACCCGAAGCACTCCCCATTTCGTGACCCTTTCTGGGCCTTCTATTGGCCAGGTGGGCAGGCTGTGTCCAGGTCAGTTGAAACATATCTCTGTATAATGATAATTAAATAAAGCATGGTAATTGAAAGCTTTCAAAAGTTGTCACATTTATTCAGTATGCAAAGTATGGTTCTGCTTAAAGTTTGGTTATAATCTCTGCTAGATGGTGAGAGAAATGGTAGTTTCAAGCAGACAAATATGAAAGAAATTCTCCATCTGTTTGCAATATTCGATTCTTCGCGGCAGGGGATCGTATTCCAGGGACCTGCCCAAAACGCTACGCGTACTAGTGGCTGTACAAGAATGTAACAACTCTTGTATATATCTCAAAAAAAAAAAAAAAAAAAAAAATATATATATTTTGCATACACAGTTAGTTTTCATTTTAATTGTTTCTTTTTGGTGGTAGGAAATTTTGCATTCACATATTGGCTTGGGGACAAGTCAAGCTTTACACACACTTGCTCATGTGGCCCCAGCATGATGCAATATCTGTACTTAATAATTCCACGAGTGTTGTTGAGTGCATGTAGGTCTCACAACTTCCCAATACTTTTAGACAGTCACTGGCTGATTGGTTACAGCACTGGAATGCTGGGGTCATGGAGACCCTGGCTGACTGGGTTCGAATCCTTCAGGATTCGAGAATTTAAACAATGTATGGGGACATTTGGGGTTATCAGATGCTTGGGACCATTCAAGCTTTACACATACTGTGTGTGTGTGTTTACTCGCCTATTTGTGCTTGCGGGGGTTGAGCTCTGGCTCTTTGGGGTCGCCTCTCAACTGTCAGTCAACTGGTGTACAGGTTCCCGAGTCTATTGGGCTCTATCATATCTACACTTGAAACTGTGTATGGAGTCAGCCTCCACCACATCACTGCCTAATGCATTCCATTTGTCAACTACTCTGACACTAAAAAAATTTTCTAATATCTCTGTGGCTCATTTGGGCACACAATTTGGTGTGTGTGTGTGTATATATATATATATATATATATATATATATATATATATATAATAAAGTGTGCTTGTGTTTGTGTAATTACTTAAGTGTAGTTACAGGATGGGAGCTATGCTCGTGGTGTCCCATCTTCCCAGTACTTTGTCGTATAATGCTTTCAAACTACTGACGGTTTTGACCACCACCACCTTTTCACTTTCCTTGTTCCAACTGTCTACCACTCTGTTTGCAAAAGAAAACTTTCTACTATTTTTTGGTACCTTTTTCTTAGCTTGAATCTGTATCATCTTGTTCTTGAAGTTGCTGGTTTCAGGAATTCCTCTTTGTCAATTTGGTTGATTTCTGTTTGTATGTAAGTGGTGATCATATCACCTCTTTTTCTTCTATCTTCTAGTTTTGGCATGTTTAACGCCTTTAGCCTCTCCTCATAACTCTTGTTTTTCAATTCTGAAAGCCATTTTGTAGCATGCCTTTGCACCTTTTTCACTTTATTTATGTGTTTTTTGAGGTATGAGCACCATACAACTGCTGCATATTCTAATTTTGGTCTAACAAAAGTCATGAAGAGTTTCCTCCGTATTTCACCATCCATATAATTAAAAGCAAGTCTTAAGTTGGAAAGCTCATATATGCTTCTCTCCCAGTGTTCTTTGTGTGTTCCTCTGGTGAGTTTACTATCTAAAACCACTTCTAGGTCTCGTTATGTATTAGTTCTTTAATTCCTTTCTACATAACTTGTAAGTTGTGTGTGGTCTATTTTCTCTGGTTACACATTCCATAACATAGCATTTATTCACATTGAATTCCATTTGCCACACCTGTGTATAAAAAAAAAAATAAAGGCATTGCCAAGAAAGAGGTGTTTCATTTCACTCAACTTAATTTTTTTTTAGTATAATACAGTACATTGCAATTATAACCGTTAGTTTTTCTTGTTTTTGTTCATTTTAAGTTTATTTTTTAATTTTACCCCTGTTTTACAGGTTTGTACTTGATAATTCACAAATTATTAAAGGAAAGAAAGTTCTTGATTTTGGAAGTGGCTGCGGGGCAAGTGGATTGGCAGCAAAATTATGTAGAGCTAAGCAAGTTACCTTTAATGATATAGATGAAGGTAAGTTGTGTGTGATATTTTTCATTCACTATCATTTTATTATCCAGTATTTTAGACAAGTGAATATGGTGTAGGTATTTCTAGATGCATAGAATGGAATAATACTATGAGATAAATTAATGATATTTATTATATACATACTGCAATGTATTTAATAAAATATTAACTACCGTATATACAGAAAATTCTTAACGTTAAAAATTGTCAAAATAATGCAAAAAGCAAGGATTTTTAGTTTAAATCACATTCAGAATTTTATCATTAAAATGCACATAAATTTGTTTATTTCTAATGCAAATGATGAAAATCAACATGTTTTAAGGCAATAAAAACTTGGGTGTTTTAACAATCAACTTCAAACTAGTTCAGAATATGGAAACTTGATTAATACAATAAGCAGATATAACTGAGGTTATTAGAACAGATGGAAAAGATTCACACTGTAATTTAGAGTGCTTTAAGTTCAGAATTTGAAATATGTGATGGATGTGTTACTAGTCAGAATATTGAACCTTGAATAATTGACTGTTATGAACATTAATAAATGTTGGAGTTAATGTTCATATGAGAAAAGGCTTAATTAATTGACTAAGGTATGTATGTAATCATTTATAGGAATCCTGTATAGTCAGCCTATATGCTGATATTTAAAAAAATATTTATTGTTCGACAGTTCGATAGTATGAAATTCATAGGAATAAAACTGTTTCTTTCCCTTGTTTTCTCTTATGATCCCTTTCTTATTCCTATTATTACCCCCAATTTTTTACACCTTACCTTCCATTCCTGTTGCCTTGCTTTTCTTCCTCTAGGATTTCATTCTCACCTCTCTTGCCTATTTATTTATTGCCTTTGCCTCCTTCCTCTCATCACAATCGACTTGATAATGGTCCAGGACGGACTGAAACGTCGTCGTCTCTTCACTTTCTAGTGTGTGGTTTGGTCAACTTTTTCAGCCACGTTATTGTGACTCCTCGTCTGCATATAGTAGTTGTCTCTTGCATTTGTTGAAGGTTCTTTAATACATACTCTGTACTTTCAATTCCTTATCATTTTGAGTTTAAATTGTAATTGTTATATTTGCAGCTGCTATAGAATCTGTGTTGCTGAATGGGTTAAAAAACAAGCTAACAATAGATGACGTCTCTACGGCAAACCTCGTTGGTACAAAATGTCACCATTATGATGTTATTCTTGTTGGTGATATGCTTTATGATGCTGAATTTGCAAATGAAGTTTTGTCTTGGTTAAAAGGGATCCATGAGAGGTACTGTAACAAATTTCTCCTTTTGTTAAATTCATATTTGTTGGTACATTTTTTACTAAGCTCTCTCTTTTAGTTAATTCCACTGTCTCGGTAGGAACTGCAATATGCAGTTCACCATTCTGATATCTATGCTGCAGGGAAATTTTGTTCCTGCAGGATGTTAATGGTACTAGGAAACACTTACAGGAAATAATGAAGCTTAGAGGCAAGAGTTGGTACACTTTTGTGACAATTTATTCTATATTTAATGTAAAACAAGAACACAAATTTGCATTCTTAATGGGACAAATAACTAGCTTGTCCAATTTTTTTTTTTAATACTGTAGTAGAAACTATTGTTTTTTTTTTGTTTTTTTCAGTGGTTCCTTGGTGCTTATAGGAGACCCTGGAAGATTTGCTCTAGCCTCTCATCCCCTGAAGACATCACTGAGATGTCTTGGGAAGTATGAACTTTCTCAGTCAACAATGTTGGAAAATAATGGTCATTCTCAAGCTTTCGTTTGGACGTTTACTTAGCATACTCTGTGTAGTTATCGGTCATGTTTTACCTGACACTTGATTCTGGGCTGGATATATAATCAGTGGAAACCAATTATGGTGAGATTAAAGTTAATTTTTAAGCCTAAATCAAAATCATGCAGGTTTCAAAGTTTAACTAATATAAAATAAAGGTGAAAAAGTTCTGCTCATACAACTTTATGTAACATGAATGATACACACAGTACTATACTTCTTGTGAGTTGTGATGGCACAGAATGTAAATAGGTGATATTGCATGAATATCATAGCTGACCTATTGTCACTCAACCGATCCCACACACTTAATACACAGCAGTATTAATGCAATAAAAAGCAAGGTCAAAGTTATGGGGATAGGGATTGAAGGATGGGGGCTTGAACCAGTGTCCTGGGTAACCCCAGATGTGCACCTTGACTCAGCTAGATCATGATTTCCTTGTATATCTGAAGGAAACATTTAGTGGAGAACTCCATTATTTATGCTAGAGTGTATGCGGATTATTTGTAAAATGTGGATTGGCCACTAGCTTGGTACCTCCAGATTCCTAGTGGATTCAGGTGGGTCCCAGGTTAAATAGCCTATAACATATTGTGATACATGGGTTAAGGCGTACATCTAGGATTATCCTCCTGGGTAAGCCCGGATGCGCACCTTAACCCAGGTTAAATAACCTTTAGCATATTGTTTGCCCTAATTCTTGGAACACAATATGCTAAAGATTATTTAACCTGGAATCTGCCTGATCCACTAGGAGTCTGGAGGTACCAAGCTAGTGGTCAATCCACATTTTACAAATAATCTGCATACACTTAGGTGTAAGTAATGCTTCGTTGAAAGACACAAGGAAATCATAATAACGTAATATATCTGAGTTATGGCATGTCTGGGGTTACTCAAGGCACTTATTTGATCCCCATCCTGCTACAAAGATTTTCTCATAGATATATTATGTTTTATTTCCTGTTTGAAGGGAGCATTTAGTAGAGAACCTACACCAGAGTGTATGTGGGTTATTTGTAAAATGCGCATAGGCCACTAGCTCAGTGTCTCCAGACTCCTAGTGGATTTGGGCAGATCTCAGGGTAAATAAACTTTAGCATATCATGGTCCATGGGTTAAAGTGCATGTCTGGGGGTTACCCCAGGATGATAGTTCGATCCCTGTCCTCCAAAGATCTTCTCTTAAAACCATGTAATATTGATGCTTTCTTTACCTAATGCATATCGGCCTCTATAGTTTAAGTGGGTTGCTTAGGTTTAGTTTCTTCTGGTTAGGCAAACGGAACTTTAAATTTTACACTTGTCAAATCAGAGAATGAGATCTAACTTAATGAAACTTTTATTGAAAGGTTTCAGAATTAAAGACAATATATATAGAGAGAGAAAGGTAATTTATTATAATTGTCAATGGCAGTGAATCAAGACTTGAAAATACATATACAGTACAGTAATGTATAAATGAATTAAGTGCGTACATACGTACGTAACACTGGAGTCACATTTAAGCAATTTGGTTAATTTTTCATCAAAAATATTGATTTTTATTTTATACAAATAACTTATTATAATGTAAAATAATTGGTATAGCAAAGCTCAGTGATAAAAAGAATATAGATCAAGACATTATTGGAGATAATATTTTGCTATTAAGTACTTTAGCAAATTTAGCAGATACATAGGGATTGTTTTTTCATTATTAGTGACTAGGAAATAGTCATCTATTATTTCTAATCCACATTGTAGAGTAGTTTCATCTTTATAAAGTCTGTTCTTTTAATTATTCAGGTTAGTGGTGATCAGAGCATCATTATTTCCCATGATAACTGGATAAAATAATGCAAAGTAATTGGATTCATTCTTAGGGCATTTAGAATAAATATAAAATTTCTTGAAAGCGTTCACCACTACATCATTGAATCTCAAATACCTTATATACTGTACTTCATTTTTTAGTGCAAAAGATAAATAATGATCAACAATCGTACTTTGCCAAGAAAACAGTGGCTCGTTCTCTCATGCCAGACCACAAACAACATAGGTTGCACACATGTTAGCTCTGGTAGCCTAATAGAGTACAGTAGCACTGACTTTTAAACTATTAATCAATGGATTAATCAACAAGATGAAGTAACACTGTAGAAATCCTTTGTATCAAGAATGGGAATGTACTATAGCATTCTCTTGTACAATACATTTGAATGCTCTCTTACTTGTGACGACTCATGAAGAACATGTCAAAACTAGGCAGGAAATAGGCATTCATCATGGAGCTATACTGAACAAAGGTTGAGCTGGATACCCCATTTACAGACTGAACCAAATAGCTAATCATGTTAGTGGATGAATCCATATACAGTACTGTATTGGATGGTTGGCTATAAGTTGAACTATACTTTCTGAAAAGGTCCTTTGGTTGATTCCTTGAACCAAAAGATATATTCTGCCTTGTGTGCATTAATAACTTGTTTACCCATCATGATCCTTCTGAAGATGTCAATTAATATGAAAGTACTCGAGGAATTTCCTGTCTCATTTTCCTTCGTGGTTAGACTTTGCCCATTGTTCATGTGTTAATTTCTTTACGATTTACACACATCATGATAAATAATTTTTGACTGTTGTCATGTAGTTAGGGAATATAATCTCATCATAAGTGACAAAATAATTGTACAATATTTCATTATTCATTATAAAAAAACATTAAATACCAAAACTAGTGAAGACAAATTTGTAGTAATACACAACCAATGCAAGCTGAATTGGCTGTGATAGTTGTAGATTCCAATGACTAATCCCAACCCCTCCCACATCATCACCACCATCATATTATATGTAAACTGCTACATTATCAATATTATTAGTTAAAGATACAATCCTAAAAGACTGACAAGTTTCTCAGTTATTTTCTATTATACTGTAAGCTGCACTTAAATACATAATTTTCATATGAGATAATAATCAGTCGGCATTCTATTTTTTACACATTGTGTGACTAAAATACATTTAAAATTTTAATTTTTAAAAATCATCATAACACTATAGTGGCCATTGATAATGGTTTGTTAATTTTAATTCTTATCACAACTGTGTTTTTAAAAACATTAGCTATCAACTACAGCTGAAGGTATGTGCCACAATGGTATCACTTGAAAGTTTAAAAAATTAAGTGTGCTTACCTATTAGTGACTGGGGGAAGTGACTTTTTATGCAAGCATGATGTGAACTCCTGAGCAATGTGCAGGTTACTAAGGCACAATAATTTAGGTACAGTACATTAAATTATGTAATCGATAAAAACTCAAATATGTCGAAGAATTTTTCTCCTGTTAATTATCAATGACATCAAAGTTTCTGGGCACTTAATGAAACAAAGACCTGCACCTCTTATATTGTCATGATTTTCATGATCAGCAATTTTGTTTTCCTACTGTTCGTTCAAGTCATTTGTCCTTTGATTTAATCCTTTGGTAAATTTTAATTCTTATATCATCAATTGTCTTTGGTTTCTGATCTCCTATTGGTATTCAGAATATCTAGGAATTATGGAATATTCTACAACACAGTGCTATATACCTTTATATGCCTGGTTCTTTTCTTTATATAATTACTTTTTAAAGAAATAAAGCTTGCGCATGAGTGTTGATAATGTTTGGGGAACTTGCTTGTTTTTGTGAATCTTATCTTTTGGATCACTGGTACGTGATTCATACTGCACAGCAACTTCCCGTGTAACCCGAAGTAGCATTGTAGCCAAGTCATCATTATGGGCATCTTCGGTTAATACTTTTGTCAAAAAGTGCAGATATACACTTCCATTAATTCCATTTTTTGCAGATTTAAAGGCATACATTCCTGCAATAATAAGAAACATTAAGTAAATTTCAAATAAATAATTAATATACAGTACTTCTTTAGTAATAAACTACAGTATGCTGTTAAAATTCGTTTAATGCTATCGGTGATAAATATTGCTTTCAGTTAAGTTTAACCTTAGTTCAACCAATGACCGTGTTGCATGAGACTGATCCTTTTTTGCATATAATGTCAAAGAACTGTACAACATTTTTGTTTAAATAATGGTAGTTCAAAAATTATGTAATTATAGTAATATGTACATGTTAAATTTTTGTATTCTTAAGACAACAGCCGAGTTGTCCTAAGGGCTCCATTTGGTGTCCTTTCGGTGAGCATCTCTGGTGCTTGGATGTCCTGCTTAGTTGTTACCTTCGGGGCCTTGGTAAGTCCCACAGGGTCTTTAATGTGGATCAACTTTGATTACCTCACCGAGCTCTCACTTGTTTCTTGCGAGCTTAAGGGATGTTCATTGGTTTTGCTACCTGCCGATGGTCATTGTTTACTGTCTGTCACCTGTTAAATGTATATTACCCTCTACCATAAGGCCTGCAATGTTTGGGTTCACTGGGGTCTATTTTAGCTACAGCCTCAGTCTATTGATTTTCTTTCATTTTATTTGTTAATGACAAGGTTTAACAGTTGGCAGTCACTTTGGGTTTATTTGCCTGCTTTTGTTGTTTGTGGCTTGGTGCTCAAGTAGTTTCCTCGGATTTTCAGCCCTTTTTTAAATTAAGGTAAAAAAGGGATTTTTACGATGGGTTCTTAATTCTTCTTTAAGATGGGATTCTTAAGGGATTTGAAGATGGAGTGGCTGTGAATTCTAATGTTTCTATGGCCCTTCTTTCACTGTCCACCATCTGACATGGTTTGATGAATTAACCAGCAGGATTTCTTACTAGGTTCAACAGTGAGGACCATGAAGATAGTGATAGGTGTTATTTCCCTTCATAACTTACAGGAAGGTCAAGGGAGGAATGTGATACATGCAATGAAACATTCCTGAAGATGATATTTAAAGGTGACCAGATCAACACGAAGAACCAAAGCAAAGATCCTAATACTCTAGGATTTTAACCACGGGGAAACAGACTAGTGAACAAAAGATCTGTATGATAGAGATGAAACAAATACAAAATTCGTGGAAACTACACACACACACTTCCTGTTGCTGCTTATTAAGGAGCAAACAAGAGAAAGGAGGCGGTGACCTACCAGCTACTCTAGATCTAGTGTTCAACCAAAATGAAGATGATGTAGAAACTTAAAATATGAAATGCTACTAGGAGCCAGTAACCACTGTGTTATTATATTTGATTATGTTGCAGAACTGAAAATAGTGTCAGAAACTGGATAAAGAGTATGAGAGAATACTGAAGGGACTACAGGAGTGTTGGGGCTTATCTGCTGGATGTTAAATAGATATTAAATGGAAATAGAAGGAAAGTCAGCAAGTGAGAGATGCAACTCAATACACAGAAATGCATAGAAACAATGGAACAGTTCATACTTCTCCAGGAGAGAAGTGGATGAAAGAAGAATATCAAACCCATGGTACAACAAAGTGACAGGAGGAAAAGTATAGGGAAATGGGTACAGAAGCAAATAGAAAAGCACTTTAAGAGAGCCAGAAATATGTACTGTACACCAAAATCTGAAAGGCAGCAGAGGAACAGTTTGAAAATGACATTGTGGCAAAAGCCAAGAGCCAACGTAAGCCGTTGCATAGCCATATATTTTACGGAGGAAAACAGCAGTACGAGACCATATGATTGGACTGTAGGGATAGGGAACTTAAAATAATTCACTGTGTCGAGGGACAGGAAGCTCGAGTGTATTTATACACATTAGGCTTTTATTGAGGTCTGCCCCCAAGGTCGAATTACTGACTTTGCCCGGGGTGCAACCCCACAACAAGCTGACTAACTCCTGAGTACCTACTCACTACTAGGTGAACAGAGCCATTAGGTGAAAGGAAATGTGCTCAACCATATCTGTCCTGCCCAGGATTTGAACCCGGTATCCTCAGTTGTGTGTCGAGAACGAACTCGACTGTACTGCCGGGACCCTACTCCATTGACATCACTCATCTTGTGTCTTGCATTCATTTTTAATAATTACTTACTTTTAAAAGAAGTAAATCTTGCGCATGAGTGTTGACATTGTTTGAGGAACTTGCTTGTTCTCATCAAGCTTATAGTTGTTTGGAACGTATGATTCATAGTGCACAGCAACTTCTCGTGTGACCCGAAGGAGCATTGTAGCCAAGTCATCATTATTAGCATCTTCTCCTAATACTTTGGTCAAATAGTGCAGAAATACACTTCCATTAATTCCACTATTTCCAGACTTAAAAGCATACATTCCTGGGGTAACAAGAAACAAATAATTTTCATGCGAGTAATGTACTAAATTAATAATAAACTATGATGTTAAAATCTATGCTTTACTACAAAAAAAAAAAGGTTTCTTTCTGTCTGCTTGTCTGGGGATTGGAGGCCAGACAGTTGTGGTTAGCATCACACAACTTTCCATGGTAATTGTAGAATTGTAGGGGGTCAGGGTCTATCCCCCATGCCCCTCTTTAAGTAGAATTAGCTTCTGTTACAACAATTGGGCTACTATGAAGTCAGAAATGTTTTGATTGTCCATACAGTGTTTACAATTTTGTTTACAGTTCATCACACAACGTAACCAACAACATTCTTACAACTTTGTATCTAACAATAGTAAAAATAATGGTGTGGTTGCTTCTGTGTTTTTCTGGGCATAATATTGAATGTTCTGAGAGACACAGACCCAAGCACTGTCAGGTGCTCCACCTAGTACTATATAAATATACTGTTTGATAAATATAGCTTTGAGTCAAGTTCAGACTTAGTTCAACCAATGACTGTGTTGCATAAGACTGATCTTTTTGTGCATGTTATATAAAAGAAAATTATTTTTGTACATACGTTTTAAAAGGTATTATTATAGGTATCACAGTAATAAACCCAAGTTTATAGTATAGTTTGTTTAATATAGTTAATCTAACTTGCTATAGTAATAGTCATTATATACTGCTTCTACATTGGCTATTTTACTGATCCAGTTTATTTTATTAAAATTAAAAGTTAATTGGCACCCAGTCAATCCTCCCCAGCCAATTCATACTAACCTGTGTAAGAAGCCCACATCATGAGCATGTCAGCATAGAGTGGAATAGCATATTCTTTATCTTGTTGGGTTATATGCGGAGAGTCTGTTTTTACAGCCAGTCCTCTTGGTCGGGCCTTCAGTTGGACACCCTTGTCTGCATCTTCTCCACGACAGGCCTTTGGTAACAATGAATAAAAAATACTGTAGATGACCATAAACCCAAAGTTATTAATTTTCATTATTTATTGTAATATAAAATGTAAATAGGAAAATGTACTTGGACATGAAATAGTGACAACTAAATAGTCAGTGCATCACAATTGTCCAGATTAAATAATGACTGGATTCCATCCTGAGCTCAAACCATAAAAGTTAAATTTTTCAGTGGCACAAATATTAAAACACAACAATATATATTTGGTTGCTAAAATAATTTGGAAAAGTTTATTAAAACATCTATTAATTTTTGTGTTAATTTCTCGATGAAGGTACTGGAATACTGGAAGCTCATTACTGTGGACACCTAATTCAGAGGAATGCAATGAGCACACAACCCATTAGCTTTCCTGCGATTGTATTCAGATATATTCCAGGTGGGTGTATTTGAGTTGGACTTCACTAAGCATATCCAATCCTAGTAAGCTATTTTCTGAAAGTGGAGGAATGGTAGTGGTAAATTTAATGTGTACTTATAATTAATAAAGCATTTCTGGGGGAGCCAGAAATGTGGCTCAAAAAGACCTAACTCATTTGGGTGTTTTCGAACAAATAAGCTCATACCAAATTATATTTTTTAATGATTAATGGCTCGGCTATAATTTCTTCGATCCATATCTTTCTTGTTCTCCATTCCTTGAATATCTTGTTTGTTATAATAGTGACAATAAAGCCACATTTTCTTAATGATATGTAAAAATACAGCAAGATAATTAATGAATAAACAGGGAAGAAATAACCTTTATGCTTCATCCCTGTAAAAAATTGCATTAATTCACAGTTAATATAACTATCGTAATCTTGGTCACAAAAGCCAAATGAAATGGCTGCCAAATAGCACGATCGGGGAAATTCTTAGAAGCAAAATACAATACAGTATACTGTAGTACCATTATAGTCATGAAGTACAGTACTCAACATTTTAAAAAGTTGCATTCATAATTAGATATTTAAGTATTGATTTAGTCAGTTTACCTGGATGAAAAACATTTTTGGTTTTCCAGCAAGTGAAGGACAATTTGCAGCATGAAAATTCTTCCATAATTCTGTTGTGTTAACCTTTCCATCAAACGTCCAGATGAACTCCGTGTTAGTGTTTTGGTGGATTCCTCCATGGCTCATAAACACCACTACCAGTCCGTCATAGTCACTGTGGTCTCTCTGAGAAACTGTAAGATTAGAATTAAATACTCTATTATTTAAACCACTTGGTAAGCATAGCAAAATATTAAGTGCTACTGTATACTTTTGAAACACTTTCACTGCCAAATTAAAATATCATGCAGAGAAATGCCATATTGATAACACTAATTCAAGTGGCATTTCACCTGAATTGTATTTAAGAACTTATGAATAGTGTGTATTAAAGACAGTTATTTTAGTTCCTTTAACACATTTTACAAGTGATTGAAAAATTCCAGGAACAGTCCTACACTAGGCGACACATTTATGCATGTTTGTTTATGCCTGATTCCTCCATTCACATAGGAGTAACTGGCTGCTTCTGAATTAGGCAACTGTTGTGGGTTGCATCCTGGGGCAACCTTAAGGAACCTAACAGTCTTCCTGTGTCTGAAAAGGGAAAACCATATAGCTATTATGCCTTGGTATTTCTTTTAATAATTACTCATCTGTAAGGGCTCCAACAGATATACAAGGCTGCTGCTTATAGAGGAAATAGATGGTATGAAACCAGAAAGATTTGCCTGAAATGCTGTGTATATTAGTGGCTTTAAGCATAGTATGTATTAGCTCTATCTAGAAATCCAACATTGTTTGTAACTCATTTTGTATGTACTTATACCTGAATAAACATTATTATTATTATTATTATTATTATTATTATTATTATTATTATTATAAAGGTGAGACATTAAGCCTTGAAATCCACATACCATGTCAAGATGTTTGAAGCACGGAGCAAATAATATCCTAAGACGTTTTAGGTGCTTTGCAACATTTGAAACTCCCACTGGGGCACATTATTCCTAATTGGTATTTGAGGCCTCTAGTAAACATTTGCCATCTTAAAAAGTGACACGATTTTGGGGAAATTGTTCCTATGTTTTAACAATACAAGAAGACATAAACTTTTTAAATCCTATTTTTATCTGCACATAAATATGCACCTTGCACAATGCAACAGTTAGATGATTTACAAGCAGAAGTAACCCATTGCAGATAAATAAATAACCCAACCCACACATGGAGTGAAAGTGATGAAGTTTTGGTCCATTTTTGGTCCACGACAGTAGTGTACAATACTTACTGTCACCCCAAAACCTACAGTACCATTTAATAAAAGAACCTGTAATAACATTGTACCGTCGTGTTTACAAATAAAATACAATTTAAAACAAACTTCATCAGCTAACACCTCAAGCCACCCAGAAACTCTTAATAGTTTTAATAATACTCATAAGAATTACAAGGTTGGCTGTACTTACTGTAAGTGACAATTTGTTACAGCTTAAAAATTTGCCCAGAAAAACTGTACAGTATTTGGCTTTGATGAAATGTATTCAAACATGAGTCCACGAATCCACATGTAGTTCATTTGTATCTATTGTACTAATATAAATGTATTTTATTTGCACACCAAAATTATTACAATACCATTGTACTTTCCATATGTCTCTTTATCAAGACCCCCACCTTTCACAGCATCATTGTCCCTAGCTCTCCTCCCTTCCTATTCATTTGTGAGGAATTACATTGTAATATGATTTTTATTAAGCACTTTAATAAAATTATCTGCATGAAAATCTGCATACAGTACCTACCTTCCTCTAAAGTTTGTAAAAACTTTTTTTTTCGCAGATCTTCATGAATTTCAACCGTAAAACCAAGGTGCTTGAAAGCCTTCTTGCAAATATCACGATCATGGTCGGCACAAGCACGGCTCTGTGGAAGTAGACCAAAATGCCATTGTTAATTCAGAGATGTGGAAAATGTTTGTGCATCTACTGCAGCCAGCTTCACTGATGAGTATGGATAATTTTGTTCACTATGTTCTGAACTCTAGTACAGTATTAAATTTGCATTTTTTTAATAATTTTTTTTTTCCATTTATCTACATTGAACTGCATTAGCCAATTTCCTTTTCTAAATTTGAAGTTTATCCAGATCTCTCTGCAGTACAGAAGAATCTTATTTTGATTTTAATGTTTGGGCTATTGACTAGATACTTTACAATGTTTTTCTGCTCACCCAGTTAGGCTCATTCTTTTCCAATCTAAGAAGCTGCATAGAATATTTTTATTATGTGCAACTTGGCCTACCAATATCGGATCTACTGACAAAAGGTCACCTACCAATGTCTGATATTTGATCCTGGTCAAGCTCTCTCAAATTCAAGCATGGGAAGTGATTAAAGACAGCAATTGGAGTTATTTAAGGGTTAATTATTCATAATCTGCCTTTTGGAAATCTGAGACCCTGATACATATACAGTATTGTACTGTACTGTACTGTAATCTCAAATAAAGAAAAGTGTTCAATGCAATGAAATGCCTCTTTCTAGAGGAGCCCCAGTCGTTCCTTGAAGCTATTGTCCTGAAATTACCCCATACTAAGTCATTTCGGTTGTAGAACTTCTGTTTGGCCTATCAAGAACCAAAGCCAGAATCTAGCTCTTTTCCCATCACAGAGACACAGGGAGCAGATGATAATCTGCCACCTCACTGGAAAAAGCCTCCTGAAAGTCAGCACAGCATTATGGACAACCAGAGGGTTCACAGAAAATAAAGCCTCGAAACTGCCAAAAAACGCAAACAATTCACACAGAACAAGGGATTCAACCAAACTAGCTCAAAAATTTTTAGTACCGATTACTGCCACCAGGCAGCCTGTCCCAAGCCCTCAGTTGACTCCCCATTTCAATCCTGGAACTGATGAAGAACCCACAATGAACCAGTGAACCTGGTGGGAGGAAGAAGGAATCAGTGACCCACCGGGACATCTAAAAAAAAAAAAAAAAAAAAAAAAAAAAAAAAAAAAAAAAAGATATTTCATTACATTCAATGCTGGGCTTCTGGAGAGAGCCATACCTGTGGCTACCTGAAGCTAACTAACCACAGAGAACAAAAACAGGACCAACCAGGAAGCCAGGAAGGAGGAGAGAGTGCATACACTAGGATGAAAAAAAGAGAACCCAGGCCAAGAGACATCCCAAAGCAACACATAATCGACTGGGAACATAAACATTGACTAAATACCGGGTCACCAAAACCACCAAGCCCAAATATCTGCCCTGGATATGTTAAGAGAAAACAACAGCCAAAACCACTGATTAGCAAACATCATGGGCCCTAGGGTAGACCACAGGCTGACTCTACTTAATGACACTGCAGATGACCTGAGAAATGCTAGCCTTGGAACAGGGAACCAAGGAAGCCAGGTGAACCTCCAAGGCTTTCACTGAGACAGAACTAGTGGCGTGCAGGTAGCAGCAAAAACCCTTCACCGGACACAACAAATGACGCAACCTCGGAAAAATCAATCGAGCATCAACCACCAAAGGACCCCTCCAGAAGCCGGCTGACTCAGTCTTCACCAGAAAAGGAGAATGATGCAAATGAAAAAATGCTGCTCCAAGCCAAAGGACCAGAATCCCTGCCTCTAGAGAAGAGCATGAAACTCTCCAACCCTACAGCTGAAGGTGAGAGCTAATAAGAAGACAGCCTTAAGAAAGATATCATGAGCCGAAGGGAAAATCATAAACCAAGGTGAAGAGAGAAAACCAAAGTCCAGTCAAAAGGCCAGGATGGCCCAGGAGGAGCAAGAGCAGGCCACAGGTGAAAAAATGCACAACTTGTGAAACAGTGTCATTGAGGTGTTGAGACTAAACGCAAGCAACATCATCTCCACAAACGCCGAACAATATGTCAACAGTATTTGTCATGAGATGCCAATCAAAATTATCCACACCAGAGTGCATGCAGGCTATTTGTAAAACTTGGTTGGGTACTAGCTGGTGCCAATCCATCCATCTAATTGCAAACTCCAGTCACATCATTGTGATTTCTTTGTGTATTTGAAGGGTGTGTAAGGTGGAGGACACCATTACCTACAACAGAGTACTGTACATGCAGGCTATTCGTAAAATTTGGTTGGGCACCAAGCTTGATGCTAGTGCATCAAGCACTAGCGAGACAGCTAGTATCTCTAGAGTTCCAAGTGGACTCAGTAGGGTTCCAGGATGAATAGCTTTAAGCCTGTCAAGTGTAGGAATATGACACGAGGCTGGTGTTTTAACAGGTCGTTGGTTCAATCCCTGCATTGCTCCAAAGGATTTTTTTCATTTATAGAATCTTTGTTAACCAGCACAAAATCTAGAACATTGTTATCCCTAATAGGTTCTATAACAAACTGTATTAGGGTGCAGTCATCTGCCTCATAATTTACTATTTTTTAATGATCAAGCTGTTTTACTAAATATAAAATTTCAACAATACACATTACTATACTTTGATGCCCTTTTTATTTATGAATAGTTTCCTGATATATTAAAACCCTCTCGAGTTATATTTCTGTAACTGTATTTTTAACAAAATGAGATCTATCTCTGCAGATAACATAGTTACCTCATGTCAGCCTTCAATGGCTTCTGCATGTACATTAATGTGAACGTCTTTCTTGTATTAATTTGATTCTTTCTTACACTTCATTTGTTTTAGACAATACAATACTTTGTTTTTGTAACTGGAACAAGCAGCTGATGACATCAATACTGTACGGTCAAACTAGCATGCTTAACTCTTAACAAATATATCTGAGCATTGGCAGCTGGTTGTTGATGTATACGTGAATGTAAGCATTGTCAGTTGCCAAATTTTGAGTTTTCTATCTTATAACAGATTTTACATATGCTGTACTGTATATTAAATATCAAGTATTTTGCAATTGTATGTTGGAATGAAATACAGTATTAATATTCTGATTTTTGTATCTTGTGCAGAATGAACTCTTGCATTTTCTTGTTAGTTTAATGCTAAACCATTATGTATTTTCCCAGAATTCACAATAAATAATAAAATATGTACATTATCACCAAAACTTCAAAGTTGTGTATGTTACTTACACTAGGCCCACCATCGCAATATGTCTTATGAACAAAGATGACGGCAAGACCTCTTTGCTTGTGATTCATGTTGTACTCCAGGGAGAGGGCTCCAACAGGCATGTTAGCACTAGGTCGGCTGTGGCAAGGAAAATACCATGTTTCGTGACATTAAAATCATAAGATGTTTAAAAAAATCAGTAGTTTCAAGTTTATCATGGATTTTAGAAACTAGTAAAGCAATCATGAATGAACTTAAATACCCTTATTTGTTTTGTAACAAAATATTTTACATACAGTACAACCAAGAAAGAGATGAATTTCACTCATCTGGAAAAAGGCTCTAATACTAATCAAAAGTACAGCTGTTTCCTAATACTTACTCCACAGGTATTCCATAGCCCTGCTTCTTAGCATCACTGGTGTCCGGAACACGTGTGTCAGATGTATCAGGATTGTCAGTTCTAATATGAAGAAGATAAAACAAAAGCTGGTAAAAACATAATCCAAAGCAAAAGCTTCACGGCAGAATTAACAGTGCTGACTTTACCTGAGAGCCACTAACACTAGTGGCCTCGATGAGGACAGGAAGCTGGCAACTTATCAAAGGTCCCCCATTTGCCTTGATGATCTTTTCAAGCTATACTTTAAAAAGTTAACAGTTTTGGTATTTACAACTTCGGCAGGTAGGCGGTTCCATGGATTATTACTGTGTTGTTAGGTACTTATGTTTTGAGTTCCTTATGGTTTCCCATGTTTGTTTTTGTTTGTATGGCAAACAAAATTTATTCTCTTTTGTTTTAAGGTCAGAGTTATTCTCATACAACTCACACGGTAGTGTGAGTGTATTACAATATTAACCCCAGCCACATCTTCGTGACACACACACAAGAAGCAATAACTTCAAGCTTCTAGAGTCATGATGCAGAACAGTTAGTTTAGTTCATTTATTATGCACCCCATACCCATCTTGTGGGCGGTAGTGAAAAGGGTTACAGAGGCACATAATGGGCTCAGGGACTGAACCCCACAATTCATTTAGCTAAGCAAGTTACAATCTTGATGAGCTAGTTACAAAATTTAATATAAGTCGTCACATCAACAATGGGTTCGAGATTGACTTCAAGTACAGGTTCTAAATTAAGCAACTGACATATGTGGAGAGCTAGTGTCAAAATTTATGTTTGTCCTGCACACCGCCCCCCATCCAGTGGGCAGCGGTGGATAGGTTACAATCACTCAGTTACTACCTACAGTTAGCAAACTGGGGATATTTGGTTAAAATTTCTGGTAGCAGATCATTTTGAATGAAATATTTACACATCGCTGGAACATTGGTTATAGAATTGTCTCTAAATTCACGTATCTTTTCGCACTTCACCACATAGTGACGGAGGGTGTGAGAATAATTTTGTTGCAGAACATACATCAGAAAAATGTTGTTTTCGGAGAGCGATAAACTTGTGAAGTGGTTGAACCACTGAATTGAAAACGGTGCTTTAATTTAAAATATACATAAAATTCATCAGACAAAATGGGGGGGAGGGGAACCCTACACCAGCACCGAACCTCCATTGCCCATGATGCCATTATAGATGGTGGCTGACAGTTAAATACGGTACAGTTTACACAAAATGATATCTTACGTGCAAAACACTAATTTAATCTTTACAATACAGTGGGGCCTCGACTTACGATGATAATCCGTTCCCAGAGACAGATCGTAAATCGAAATATCGTAAGTCGAAGCGATTTTTCCCATGAGAAATAAAGGGAATTGAATTAATCTGTTCCCCACCCTCCAAAATATTAACTTACAAATACATTTTATACTGAATACAATTTTGTTCTCTAACTTCTATACAGTATATATGTTTACCTTACCTTTATGGAGGACTCTTGATGGCGTATGGAGGATGGTGATGAGGGGGGAGGAGGGGAGGTGTTACTGTTTGGAAGGGGAGTCCCCCTTCCATTATAACATCAGGCAGTGATGACTTTTCTGGGATACTCTCTCTGGCATGTTTTGCCTGCATACCACTAGGACCTGTTTGTGGCTCACTGGTTGCTTGTCTCACTAAGAATCTGTCTAAAAACACTTGTTTTTCCCTACATTTTAACACTTGTCTGTAGTAAGACATCACATTGCCATTTAAAAGGTCAATGCAACGGCCTGCTACAGCTTTATCTGGGCGTGTTTTTTCAACAAAACTTTGCAGTTCTTCCCATACTTCGCACATTTTCTTAATGAGGAAGGGATATCCTTTACTGCCTCAACTCACAACTATTTTCTTAGGTTGAATCTTACCATTGACTTTCTGCGACCCATGGTGTGATATATAATAATCAGTTTTATGTTCAAAAAAGCAAAAAATCACCACAAAAATGGTATTTCTTCTAGGCATGATCGTCACTAAGCGGGCAGCTCTAGTAAACTGAGGCAGGTTGGCCTGCGTGACTGGGAACCACACACTTGGTCGACCCAAACGTGTACCAACAAATATCGTTATTTGATGACACTGTCGTAAGTCGAGTCGCATTTTTCAATCAAATTTACATCGTAACTCAAAATTACCATAAGTCGGGGCAATCGTAAGTCAAGGTGCCGGCGTATTTCAAATATTATACAGGTAAAAGTACAAAATTTTAGTGAAGACTTTGAAAATATCTCATCTTGTATATGTAAATACAGTATACACAAATATTTAGTGTATGTACAAGAACTCTTGTGTGTGTGTGTGTGTGTGTATATATATATATATATACTGTATATATATATATATATATATATATATATACTGTATATATATATATATATATATATATATATATATATATATATATATATATATATATATATATATATATATATATATATATATACACACATATAAATAAAAATAAAAAATAAATAAAGATCTACATACGTAAGGTTCATACTAGTTGGGTGTGGTTCTTGTGTGAACTCGGATGTTCTTGTCATATCCATATACTGGGACATCCCAGAGGGTGAACTAGGGCTGCCATCATCCTCCCTCATTTCCTTTTCACTACCCAAAGCCGAAGCCATATTCCTTGATTAAATTTATGTCTGAAATTGTCAATAGATTAACAAAAATCATGTAATATAAAATGCCTTGTTGTACTATATTGTCCTAATCTAGATTTTAGTTCTCATTACAAGGTATCCAGATTACTTTGCTGGAAACCAAACATTTCTTAGAGTTTTCAATAGACTATATCCCTCACAGACTATGTTTCAATAGACTATATCCCTCACAGACTATGTTTCAATAGACTACGTTCTCTCAATGTTTGTGACCATTTACCTACATCTCTTTCATAAAAAGTATACATTAAAGTAGGTATCTCCAATAACTTTACCTGTTGAATAGGTTATTGTAGAATAAAAATTAGCATTACGGTGCTTTCTGCTCCACCCGCCAGTAACAGTGTGGCTCAATCTGATGATAACACAGTTGGTGACGACAGGAAAGAGATAAAGGTCTAACTATCTTATCTATCTTCTTAGATTAATGATAATACAATTGTTGGCCAAATACCAAAGGCGTTGTCTTCTTATTTCATATATTGTTTGAACATTGTTTTCCCTTAACATGCAATTATGCATGTGTGCATCATGCATATGCATCATGCTTCCCTTAATTGAACATGTTTTCCCTTAAAATGCAATTAAGGTAATTTAGGGGTCTCTGGGAATGCATATAGAATTTAAGCCTAAATACTGTACTGTATACCCATTGCAATCACAAAAGCACTACAATGTTGCAATTCATTCTTGGAACAAGTAGTTTATTATACATATATCAATTAATTTAATGTGTATTTCCAGCCACTACACATTTGGCTTGCTTTGGTTTAAAATTTGTGCTTTCTAGAGATGCAGTCTAAGCAGGAGACAACAATGCTCTTGTCTTGTGTTTTGTCCAACTTCTGCTCTAATGATGAATAACTAAAAATAATTAGAAAGAACATTGACAAACTAAAAGACCCAGTGAAGGTGGGGATGGAATCCAGTCCAAAGTCTTGCAGGAGTTTAGTTTAGTTCATTTATTATGCACCCCATATCCATCTTGTGGGCGGTAGTGGAAAGGGTTACAGAGGCACATAATGGGCTCAGGGACTGAACCCCACAATTCATTTAGCTAAGGAAGTTACAGTCTAAGATGAGCTAGTTACAAAATTTAATATACATTATGTTGTCACATCAACAATAGGTTCTGGATCGACCACAAGTACAGTTTCTAAATTAGGCAACTGGCATATGTGGAGAGCTAGTGTCACAATATGATATTGCACAATTGCATTGTATGTACTAGCTCTATCTATAAATCCATTAACTTTTGTATCTCACCCTGTATGTATGTACTTTACCTGAATAAATATTTGTATTTATATTTGTATATGTTTGTCCTGCACACCGGCCCCCATCCAGTGGGCAGCGGTGGATAGCTTAGTCACTTAGTTACTACCTACAGTTAGCAAACTGGGGATATTTGGCTAAAATTTCTGGTAGCAGATCATTTTGAATGAAATATTTGCACATCTTTGGAACATTGGTTATAGAATGGAGGAGCTGACAGAAAAACTATACCTGCTGCTGAAACTACTTTTCACAAAATCCCTGAACCAAGGGATTATAAACGGATCTAGAGGAGATCTAGAGCTTACAAAGTCCCTCTAGATTGTAAATATTTAAATGTTACCCCTATTTAAAAAATAAAAGGCGGAAAAAGCTAGACAGGACACTACCATCCCATCACTAGCATTGCCCATTTCGGGCAGGTACTTAATCCTAATATCCCCCGGAAAACGACCCGCCAAATCGTTTAACAACCAGGTACCCATTCACTCCTGGGTGAACAGAGGCTACAGTGAAGGATTGGCGCCAAGGCAATCCTCCCCGGCCAGGATACGAACCCAGGTCAAAGCGCTGGCGAAGCGCCGAGCAAGTTTTTTTTTTTTACCACTACGCCACGGGGACTGCTTCCCTGTCAATGATTGTAATTGGAAATCAATTATTTCAGACCAAATAATATGAGGTACTTTGAACTACTTCATACAATCACAAATATTGGAGGATATTCCTGTGCTCTACCCAGAGTTTGCTAGTGTAGGCTGGTGAGAGTAGGCTCACACTACATGTTCTCTCCTGATTCTGTTTTGACTGTAGCGCCAGAGGCGGCTAGTTTATTGTGCACCCCATACTCATCCTGTGAGCGGTAGCGCAAAAGCATTACAGAGGGCACAAAAGGTCTTTATCAGACCTCATCTTGGATTATTACATAAACAATTTCATCTATCCTTTACACCTTATAGTTACATGTCAGCTAGTTACAGAGAATGTTTTATTTCAAGAGCTATATATCCGATTCCAATGTGACTAACCATCCTGTGAGATGGGGATATTAAATTAAATTACGCTAGTTTTTTATTTACACGGTAATCCTTATTGCGGAATAGGGTAGCAGCACATTGCTGTGTATCAGCCCTACTGATAAATAGGGATTAGGTCTCAACTCGTCCAGTACAACACTCTACAGTGCTGTACTGGATATACTCGTACGCCAGACGTACGAGTATATCATAAATTAAAAAAAAAAAATAAAAGTCACGTGTGTACACGTTATGAATAAGTAATTAGCTGCATATGGGAGTACATATACATGAAGACGTGTGTGTATACATGCCGCCAACAATACAGTCGTCATATTTTAACACGAAGCAACAGGCTGCAACAAGCCGTTTGTGGGCGGGAGCGGCGGCTACTGAACATGGTGTAACCGAACGTGTGCTGGCAGTGACGTCACGATGCGCCCCTGTATATATATGAGAACACCGCGGCATCGTCAGCAGCTGCACACTTCTCCTCTGTGAGACAGACTAAGAGGAAGAGCTGTAGTAACTGTACTATCAGGTACTCTACTGTTACCCGGCCAGAACACATGGCTCACCTACTAGGAACACCGACGGTTGAATCTGAAGCCCTGCCGTGGCCGCTGACGATTAAGAAAAAAAGGCAGCAGCTCCTCAGCCCAACAATGCCTGTTTACATGGCACCTGTGGAGTACTCAGAGGTGTACTACAAGAAGGCATACTTCGCGCCCCCTCAGCGTACCAGCACTAACGAGCCCACTATAGCCCGTCCTACATGGACATTTCGTTCTGAGTACCTGAATCTAAAACAACATCCCTCACAGCTCGCCACCCAGATGACCGTCAGCGATGCTGCAGCCGCAGACCGGTGTGACCTGCTGTGATTTTCCCGCCTAACACAGTAACGCAGCAGGAGGACCAACACTGGTCCTCAGGGCAGAATGGTAATCCCGATTTGTCGCTTTAGCCTGTGGTCCATATCCTGAGGGTAAAGCACACTCACTGGCCGCTCCGGATACCTCGACCCAAGAGTTGAAGTAGTAGGCATCCATCAGTCTCAGGAGACATGGAGTTGCGCCCTGCTTGTCGGCCTGGAGTAGCCTTTGCATGGCGCATGGCTGATAGCCTGGGTAGGTCGATATGGAGAAGCTGTTGTCGATTGGTTCCAGCGCCGTCGAAGAACTGTCAGAACGAGGTAGAAGGCAACAGCGCACTGCCCCTAGGGGTTCCAGCTTCGGAGTTAACCTCGAGGTTGGTAAAGGAAGGCATAGAGACTCAAGACCCGGAGACCGCCGTGGTCGGGGCCGGAGAAGAACCACCCCAGCAAGGGCAAGAACGACCCCAGCCTCCTGAAGCAGAGCCTGGGCCTCACGAGCCCCAGGAGGTGGACGTCCCGGTCCCACACCTACCGGTTCTAGACAGATCGTCACAGCCCTCTTTCACCCGAGGGCCGGCTTCCTTCATGACCCTCCTTCTGCTGGGTCATAAAGGAAGCCGGCCTCGGGTGAAAGGCTTCACCCGATTCCGACTATAATATATAATATATGACTACCATATTGCGATAAAGGTGAACTTTATATATCAATATATATTAGGTTTAGTATAATATGTACTCGCCTAATTGTGCTTGTTGGGGGTTGAGCTTCGGATATTTGATCCCGCCTCTCAGCCATATATCTGTGATCTCATGTTCCTACGTTAATTGTTTTAATTGGCAGTTTGAAAACATTGTTTTTATATTACCAAAGAAATATCGGGCTAATATTCAGCCTGCTTAAATCATTGTATGATATTGTTATAAGCCATTGCATTAAAATATATTCTTACAAAATCGATGTTTAATTTAGTTTTGTTAAAATTATCCTGAATCATGAAACAAATTTCCCTACTGCTACACTTAAACAAGCTATGAAATTTAATATTTTATCATAGGCATGATACAAATATATATTACATAAAAATTTTATAAGTTAACATTTCTGTGCTAACAATGCCCGGCAATTATAGAACAGGTGACACAGAGCTTCTATAAATGCTCCTTAGTCTATGAAAAAAAAAGTTTGTCCAAGGTTGGAGGCCAGTTGCATGGGATAGGCTTGGACAGGGGGGGGGGGGCAGTTGGCGCGGGCATATGATTATGATGAGGGGGGGGGGGTGGCCCTATATCAATAATATTGCTTGTCATTATCTTTTCTAATCAGTTGTGTTACTTGTAAGTACGTAATGTACACTACACGTAAATGTATATATCCATACTCAAATCATGTTTAGCACTAATTAGAAACTTGCTTAATAAGCAGTTCGAAATGGGGTTCGAACGGTCTAACGGTCATTACGGTGAATGGTCATTCGTTCGAACGAATGGGGTCTATATTTCCCATCTGGCCTGGGCCTATTACGAGCCTTGCATGGCTCTGCTTTAAGCTAGCATCACCTGACATTTTCAAGAGGACACATGTATGGTGTATGACTTTCATATTTATTTATTTATTTATATATATATTTATTTATTTATTTACAAGAAGGTACATTGGGGGTTAACAGAGAACATAGAAATTTAAGTTAATTTTACATTCTTGTAAAGCCACTAGCTTTAGCCACAGCCACATAGCCATCACTAGCAAGCCAGAGCCACATAGGCTGGGCGTGGTCACCCACACAACTACTCTCACCAATTTTAATGAAGTCTGGAATCATATAATTTATTTTCGTAGTTTATATTTTTTTATATTTTCATAATATTGCATTTTCTGAGAGAGAGAGAGAGAGAGAGAGAGAGAGAGAGAGAGAGAGAGAGAGAGAGAGAGAGAGAGAGAGAGAGAGAGAGAGAGAGAGAGAGAGAGAGAGAGAGAGCATGAAGGAGAGAGGTGAGAGAGAGAAGAAATGAGAAGGGGATGTTGGGGAAAGATGAGAGGAGATGGAGAGTGCGGTAAGAGAGGGAGACAGACTATGAACGAGGGGGTAAAGAGGGAGTAAGGCCCGGGCACCGCTGGGAAGACCATCTAGTTCATTATACATTTATACAACGTAAGGGATATATACACATCGAAAGGTCTCTCTCATTTATTGGTGTATATATATATATTG